GTGAACTTTGTGGACAAAGATTTAGTCAGAAGCCAAATTTATACAAACACATGAGGGTCCACACAGGACACAAACCGTTTCCTTGTGAACTTTGTGGACAAAGATTTAGTCAGAAGTCAAATTTAAACTCGCACATGAGAGTCCACACAGAAGTGAAAACTTTCTCACTGAAAATATTAAAATAACTTATAGGCCATGAGATGCAGATTTTATCTTATCGCCCACTTAAAATTTGTTTTGATTTTGTAAAAATAAATATAATTCTGTGACAATTTTCAACAAGTTACCAAACTATGATTTGCTCCTAGTTTCTTAAGAATACTTTGAAAATAAACTAATTTAACCTTAAATCATAATTTGGACTATAGATGTTGTTTCTAAAATATTGTTTCAGTGGCTGAAATATGTGGAGAGAACCAACCAACCAATCATATTATGTCTTTTCAAATGGCCAGGCTCCAAGAAATGTTATTCCTGCTATTTCTGAGGGAACTGTGATGTAATTAATTAGTAAATTGGTTAACCAACAAGTCTCTCATGTAAATGAACTAACTGTGTTTTAATGTAACTAACCTGTATAGTTTTTTTTATTACTACAATGTCATTCCTGTAAGCTGAGTAATGTTTACATCATGTTATAACATCAAAATATGAAATAAACAATGTCAGAATTGTGCAGGTTAAACTCCATCTTTATTGTAGTCGTAGGCTACTTTTATTTTACTACTTTTTATACTGAAGTATGAGTATGGGATCGGGGGCCCATTGCTACAGGCTGTTCACTCCCTATACAAGCAGTGCGAGAGTTTGGTTCACATTGCCGGTAGTAAGTCAGACCCTTTCAGGATGGGAGTTGGACTCTGCCTGTGCTGCCTGTTGTCAGTGATTCTGTTCATAACTTTTATGGACAGATTTTCACAGTGCAACCAGGGGATGGAGGAAGTCTGTTTTGGTGGCCTTGATTCCATCTACTCTTTGCAGATTATGTGGTCCTGTTGGCGACATCGTGCCGTGACCTTCAGCTCTCACTGGAGTGATTCACATCAGAGTGTGAAGCAGCTGGTGTTAATCAGCATCTCCAAATCTGAGGCCACGGTCCTCAGTTAAAAAAGGGTGGATTGCCCTCTTCAGGTCGAAGGTTATGTTCTACTTAATGTGGAGGAGTTCAAGTATCTCAGGGTTTTGTTCATGAGTGAGGGAAGAATAGAGTGTGAGATTGATAGACGGATTGGTGCAGCATCTGCAGTATTGCGGACTCTGTGCCAGTCTGTTGTAATGAGGAGGGAGCTGAGATGTAAGACAAAGCTCTCCGTTTACCCATCAGTCTACATTCTTACTTTCACCTATTGCCATGAACTCTGGGTAGTGACTGAAAGAATGAGATTGTGGATACAGACGGATGAAAAGAGTTTCCTCCACAGAGTAGCTAGACTCTCCCTGAGAGATAGGGTGAGAAGTTCAGTTATCCGGGACAGACTTGGAGTAGAACCACTGCTCCTCCACATTGAGAGGAGCAAATTGAGGTGGTTCAGGCATCTAGTAAGGATGCTTCAAGTATCAACCACATTATTTACCATGCGAGTTTACGGCGGTATTTATAACAGCTGTTTACTTAGCTCCGGATGATAATGCTAAAGACGCCCTGAAGGAGCTAACTAATAACATTAGCTCACTGCAGAACAAACACCCATAGACTTTTTATGTAGTAGCTGGTGATTTTAAACACGTAAATCTGAAGGAGACATTGCCAAGTTTTCATCAGCATGTGACCATACCAACACAAAGAAATAACACACTAGACCGTGTTTACACCAACGTGAAAGATGCATATAGAGCTTTAGAGCGTGATGTCACTTGTCCACGGCAAGGCGACTGATGAGATGGGATGGGACCGGATCCACCATTTTTATAGTCCTCCATATTAACTGTCGAAAACGAGCTTTGTCGCCAACTTAAAAAAAAAAAGTTTAAAACAGTTTAGCAATGGTCCGGACTTGCTTGACACCCAGATAATAAACCATTGCAATAGTCCAGTCTAGATGTGATAAATGGACCAGTTTTTCTGCATCATCTTTAGATCAGATGTTTCTAATGTTAGTGATATTACGCAGGTGGAAGAAGGAGGTTCTAGTAACGTTTTTAATGTGGGGGATAAAAGACATGTCCTGATCAAAAATAACACCAAGATTTTTAACATTAGAGCAGGAGGACAGATTAATGCATCTAAGGAGGGAGAAAGACTGAAACATTCATTCCTAAGGTGCTCGGGTCCAAAAATCAAAACCTCAGTCTTGTCTGTTCAACAGGAGAAAATTAAGGTTCATCCAGGTTTTTATGTCTTTAAGACATGCTTGTAGTCTAAGTAGCTGATTGGATTCATTGGGTTTAATGGACAAATATAACTGAGTATCATCAGCATAACAAAGAAAATTTATTCCATGCTGTTTAATAACTTTACCTAATGGAAGCATATATAAAGTAAAGAGTATTGGTCCAAGCACTGAGTCCTGAGGAACTCCATGACTAACTTTGGTGTATGAAGAAGATTTATTATTTACATTTACAAACTGGAATCTATCAGATAGATATGATTTAAACCATTTTAGAGCTGTTCCTCTAATCCCAATATCATATTCAAGCCTCTGTAGTAAAATATTGTGATCAACTGTATCAAATGCAGCACTGAGGTCTAACAGGACCAGTATAGACACCAGTCCATTGTCAGAGGCCATGAGAATATCATTAGTGACTTTTACTAGTGCTGTTTCTGTGCTATGATGAGCTCTAAACTCTGACTGAAACTCTTCAAACAGATTATTTCGTTGTAGATGTTCACGCAGCTGACCTGCAACTATTTTCTCTAGGATTTTTAGATGACATTTAGGTTAGATATAGGTCTGTAATTGGCCAGAATTTCTGAATCAAGGTCAGACTTTTTAAGTAAAGGTTGGGGGGTCCTCCTCCAGAACATTTTGAATAAAGTCAATGCCATTTCCTGCATTCTGGTGTATTTTAACGGTTGTTAAACATCTAGTTTTACCTACACAAGTAAACACTTGATTCAGTAAATATTTTAGAGCTAATGGCACAACAAGAAGTATCCTGACCAACAGCTGATTCAATTAATTAAAAATATTATACATTCAAAGGTGACGATTTGATGCCCACATTAAAATTAAATGCCTGTAACTTAGTTGACTTCAAATGTAATAAGATTATCAATGAATGTTTGTGACAAAGGATTTACTGATTATAACAAAGATTCCTTCAAGAAACCTCCCAGTATAAATCATAAAACCATAATGACTTCTGCTCGTTCTAAATCTGTCAAATGGCCTAAATCTCCTAAAGTGAAGGAGAATCATTTAAAAATAATAAATAAGATATATCCTGTAGCCATGTTTCTTGAAATAAGATTTAAATTTGATGTTGATTTGTGGGCCTTTTGTAAATCAGAAGATGAATCCCTCAAGCAATTTTTTTAATTTTTTTCATGTCAATACCAAGTGTTTGTTCAGACATCCGAAACTGGATTAATCTCAAACTTAACATTCCTTCTTTTGATGCGGATATAATTTTACTTTATGTGGATAACTGAAGCTCAGCTTTCTCTGATGCCATAAATATAGTCGTACTTACAGCAAAGTACCACATTCACTGTAGTAAGAGGAGAGATAATAAGCCTTCCTTCCTGTTTTATGAACAATTTTAAGTCATTCTGTTCTTCATTAAGTAGATTAAAAAACTTAAAAACTGCTAGAATCATATCACAACAGATAAAACTTATTGTTTTAATAAAAACAAGTTTTTTCATATAGTCATGCTCCTTTCTTTATTTATTAAGTTTTTTATGTTTTTTTTTTTTTTGTCTTTCATTATTTTGTGAAATGTAGTTATGACACACTTCACAAGTTTGTATTTGTATCTTGTATTTTTTTTATATAGTTTATGGAATTTTTTTTTTTTTAAATGAATAAACTTTATACCATACCATATTGTTGCATTGTTCTGTTTTGTGTTAATAAAATTCTAGGGAAAAAAAAACCTGACGGGCTTGTCAGCAGGTAAGAGGCGTTTACCTTCGATTGGTCAGTTGCTGACACGCCTACTGGATTGATTGACAGGTTGCGCCCTGGAGGATCTGACTCGGTACAAACCCCCCCAAAACAACAAACGAGAGCTGCAGCAGCGGCGCTGGGAGGAGGCGGGCGGCCCAAATGCAGCGGCAGCACAGCAGTGTCTCTGCAGCGCAGGGCTCAAGGAGATGACCAGACATTTCACTTGTGCCCTCACTGCTCTGGGCCCCTTAGAGATCGTGGGCCCCTGGGCACTTGCCCAGTTGCCCGTATGGTTAATCCGGCCTTGACCCCAGGCAAAGAACACATACAAAAACACTAACCAAAACTTTAATATAATGCTTTTTAAGAAGAAAAAAAATTCATACATTTTACAAGAAAATAATGCATACACAAATGTTTTTGAAAAGGTAACAATTATCTGTCAATAAGAAGAAGACCCATCCATCCATCCATCCATTATCTTTACTCTCTTCTTCCTTTTTGGGTCACGGGGATCGTTGGTGTGGGAAGAAACCAGAGTACCCGGAGAAAACCCACGCAGCACAGAGAGAACATGCAAGCTCCACCCAGAAAGGCCCCTGGACTGGGATTTGAACCAGGGACCTGTTGCCGAGAGGCAGCAGCTCTACCAACTGTGCCACCGTACTGCCTAAGAAGCAGACCAAAAATCATTATATTTGAACTATTTTAGTGTTGGACTAAACATGTCAATGATCCTAACCACCTGCGAATGCTTTGAGACACAGAGATAAAACAAAACTGGCAAATAACAAAAAACAGGTTAAATTGCTGAAAAATGTGAATATAAAATGAGTGGGGAAATCATTGCAGCAAACATTTATTTTTTGTTCTTGTTTTTACTGTGTAAAGACCAATGTAACTGTTCACTGCTGTATTTAGTTATAAAATCCTCTCCAGTACCAGCAGGTGCAGTTGAGGCCTGCAGCTATGAGCAGGATAACCAACAAAGCAATGAACAGACCCACGCAGAGGATGGTGACAACACTAGCCCAGATCAGAGTCTTCTTGGATGTGTCAATCAAGGGAGATTTGAGAGCCATACGTGCCCTGCGTGCACGCTGGTGGTTCTGAGGAGGGTATCGTGCCATATTAACTCGTTCCATGTTCAGAGAGCGCACAAGACACGCTCTGAGGTGACTCAGCCGGTCGAAGGTGTGTTTCCCATGGTAACAGCCCGTACCACTCTGACCTGAAACGGGGTGGGGGTGCACAAGTTATATCTCATTAAAATGAACTTCAGGTTTAATAACACGTTTAAAACCTAAACCTGTAAAACCTTTGATCAAAAATTGGATCAAATATAGCTTTCAAATTAACACTATCATCTTTCAGAATGTCGTAGCACATTTCAGCTCAATAGCTCTAAAAATGGCCAAGTTTTAACCAATCATTTCTTCAAGCCATGGCAGCCATCTTGAATTATTATTTTGCATTCAGTATGTGAAATGAATTGTTCTCAGCTACCACCACACCAAATTTCAGCTCAATATGTCTTAAAATGGTTGAGATATAACAATTTGAAATTGGCTGTTGTGGCCATCTTGAATTTTTCTATTAGCATTCATTGTGTGATATAGAGCTTAGCTACCACCACACCAAATTTAAACTTAATTATGGTAAATTGCTTCAACCAGCTGGGTTTGAGAGGACAGGAAGGAGAAACAAACATGGAATGGCAGGGCCAGGTGTACTTTTTATTGGAAGAAAGATAAAAACACATGAAAAGGATATAAATAATTAGAAATACAAACAGGTAGAGCAGAGTAAGTAAAGACAGCAGCAGAGTGAGGACATGTGGTCCATTTGTCCTCCAGCAGTTTACGCCTAAATCAACATAACTAAGGGATAGTTCAGAAAACCCAAGCCGACCCTAACTAAAGGATTTATAAGAAAGGAAAGACTTGAGGCAAGTCTTCAAAGTTAGACAATATGTCAGCCTCATTCATTCAACTTTTATCTATACAGGTTAGTCTCATTGAGCCACAAGGACTCATTTACAATAGAGACCTGTACAGACAAAAACTGGAAGTTTGTTCCACAAGAGAGGAGTCTGAAAACTCTGCCTCCCTTTCTGCTTTTAGAAACTATAGGAAACTCTTTGGAAACAATTAATCCTACAGTCTGCAGAGTGAAGTGCTCTGTTAGGAAAGTATGGAACAATAAAATCTGTAATATAAGATGGAGCTAGGTTGTTGAGAGCTTTGTACATTAGAAGTAAGATTTTGAATTTGATTCTGAGATTGACGGTGCCAATGGAGAGAAGCTAAAACTGGAGGAAGACGATCTCTCCTACCAACTCTCATTAAAACTCTGGCAGCAGCATTTTGGATCAATTTAAGAAATTATAAAGAATTTCTTGGGCACCCAGATAAGAAACAATTACATTAGACATGAAAGATCATCCTAGACTTGATACATGCATGGACTAGTTTGTCTGCATGATTTTTGGACAAGATGTTTCTCATTTTATTGATATTACGCAGGTGGAGGAAAGCTGTCCTGGTAACCTTTGTAATGTTGGGGTTAAAATACATATTGTGATGATTGTGCCCTCTGCTGATGTGTCTCAGTCTTGTTTCCTTTTGTGTGATTGCGCAATTGGCCACACCTGTGAGCCTGACAGGTGTTCTGTGTTTAGTTCTCGTCAGTGTCTGTATTTAAGTGTGAGTCTCTGTGCTATTCGTTGTCATGGCATTGTCTCCTGTCGCCTCTGTCTCTTGAGTCTCTTGTGATTCCTGAGTTATGCAAGTTTGCAGCCCTATCAGCTCTTGTATGTTTTTGGATTAAACAATTATTATTTTACCTTCTGAGTCGTTATGCTGCCTGCACCATTGGGTCTGACCCACACCAGAACGTGACAGAATGCCAGGACCAGACTAAGACCCAGCAAGCTGCCCGTCCTTGGCTGCGCTCATTCCGGAGGATGAGCGGTGGCTCCACAGTGTTACTTGGGCACCGTTTCACACTGTATCCAACCCCAACTTCCTGTGGGCAAGATGGGTGACTTTCTGGGTGAATTCCTTGAACTGCTGGGTCTAATCGAGTCCCCGAGAATGAAGGAGCTCCTCGATATGGCGCTGGAGGAGCAACAGGTGCTGAACAGGATCTGCCGGTCCACTGAGCCTCCTATTCTGCCACCAGAGAGCCCCATGCTCACTGCAGTCCCTGTGGTGGTTTCCACCCCTGTCACAGTCCCCGTCGTTTCAACACCTGCTGCAGCCCCTGCGTTCTCTGCATCAGCCACGTCTCCTGAGAGTTCCACGTTTCCTGAGAGTTCCGCGCCGCCTCCTGCTGTGGGGTCCATGCCACCTCCTGCTGTGGAGTTTGCACCGCTTCCTGCTGTGGAGTTTGCACCGCCTACTGCTGTGGTTTCCACGTCCTCAGAGGGTCCTGAGTATGCAGAGAGCCCCAAGCCACCTGCAGCGCCTAAGGTCTCCACGCTCTGTCCTGGTTCCTCATCTCGACCTGAGGTTTCCACGCTGCTTGAGCGCTCTTCAGCATCCACGGACCTGCTCCAGTCTTCTGGACGGTCTCCCGGACGCCCACCTGAACTTTGCCCATCTGAACTCTGCCCCAGCAATGGCCGGTCGCCGAACCACCTAGTCTCCTTTGTGTTTGCCCCTCCGTGTTTGGTTCCCGGGCTCCATCCTGTCGGTTTTTGTTTGTTCCTCCTTGTGTTCCCCATCCTCCTGGTTGTTGATGTTAAAAGTGATAGCTCAAGCATAGCCTTTAAAATGTAATAGAATCAGTTGGTTTGACCCAAAACGTCTGCTTATCTACTCATTCTCATCATCACATTCTTGATCTGGTTTTGCTGTATGGCATAAGGATTAATAACTTAGTAATACATCCTCAAAATCCTGTATTGTCCAACCATTTTTCAAAAACCTCTGAGTTTACATTAACTGACTACACAGCCACTGAGAGTAAATTTCATAGTAGTTGTTTATCAGAGAATGCTGTAATCAAATTTAAACTATCTCTTTCATTTTTGTTTTCCTTTGTCTTGCAGATTAATTCATCGGAGAGCAGTGACTGAGATTAGAGTTACATTCAGGCCTAAAAAATCCGACCCGACCTCAGCCAGTAGCCATTTTTTCCAAACCCAACACGATCCGATAAAATTAACTGTAACTACAGGCCAGAAACGAAAACAAACAAACAAACAAACATTGTTTTTATTCAGCTTTTATGGCTTTGTAAGCAAATCAGACATTTTAAAAAACGTATTTCAAAGAAAGGAAGATATAAGACTTCTTGTTTCAACAAATGGATATTAATATACAAAACAAATAGCCCCAAAAAATAAAAATTAAAGATTATACAAATGAACAAAAATATTTTTAGAGCAAAATTATTTGGAAAAATATAAAACAAAGCTATTTTAATTGAACACGCTGCTCGCTTCGGCTTTTGTAGATGCTGCTACTTCCTTCATCGCAGATGACAGCAGGTGCGGAGACGCGCGCGTCCGGTGATCAGCAAATCCATCCATCCATTATCTTTACCCACTTCTTCCTTTTCAGGTAATGGGGGTCGCTGGTGCCCATGTCCAGCCATCACTGTGCGAGAGGTGGGGGACACCCTGGACAGGACGCAAGTCCATTTCAACCGGCGGGTCAGCAGACACGCACGGCCGGTGACACGTTGCCCATCTGAGCTCGACGCAACTTTTTTTTACTTCTTTAAACCGGCTTATTGGACCTGCCTCGTCCTCAACAAGTAAATTAACGCAATTTTATATTGTGCATTCTTATTTAGTTTTCTTTGTGCTCTATGATTCGTTAAACAGCATCACAGAAGCTTGAGCCCACGTGCGCAATTATTGCGCAATGCGCCAGCGAGCTCGTCAGTCTGATTAAATGCTGCACTCTTCTTTCTTTCTTCATCTTCTCAAAATATAGATTTACTGTCTCCTCCTCTACAAGAAGATTAAACACAATTTTATATTGTGCATTCTTATTTAGTTTTATTTGTGCTGTAAAATTCATAAAACTACATCTAAGACCGGCCCGACCCACACATCAAGCACATTATTATGGCCCGGGCTGGGACAGGTTCGGATTAGAAATGACAATGATTAGAGATGACAATGATTAGAGATGACCTTGTTGATTAATTTACAACTTCAATGCAAACTTCACTTGATAAAACTGCACCGCTGGAAAAGAAAGTAATAAAATCAGAGAAAGCTGGCTCCTTGGTTCAATTCTGCTATCAGACCAGAGAGCTGCTACCGCCAGGCCCAGCCAGGAGTAGCTTGAGTCATGCTGAATAGACGTGGACAAAGAAGAGTAGACTCAGTGGAAGATAATTCAGACAATATGGAGGAAAAAAACAAGTCACTGGACTTTATGAGTGCAGAACTGACAAGATTAGCATCTCAGCAAGAACTCCTGATCGGTCTGATTGAGGAAGTGAAGCTGTGGAAAGTTCTGATAAGTGACAGAGACAAGAAGATGCTGAACTGGAACAAAAAGTAGATGATCTGGAAGAATACACAAGACGAGATGATCTGGTAATACTGGACTTGAAGTTAAACACCGGACATATGCAGGAGTTGTTGCCAATGTAAACACCACAGAAGACGCACCACAAGAAGAGCTGCTGACTCTGGAGCAACAAGTAGTGACTTTTTTTACAAAACCAAGACAATGATCCAACACGAGGACATTTCCATCTGTCACACCTTCCCCAGTAAATCAGAAAAATTCAAACCATCTATAGTTATCAGGTTCATTAGTAGGAAATCAAGAAATAATTTAATAATGCAAGAAAAAAAACCTGACGGCAACAAATGTATACATAAATTAACATTTAACGAAAAAATGGAAATATTGCAAGTGAAGCAAAGTTGTTGAAAAAAACAAAAAATAGCAACTTGGACAAGAAACGGAAACATTTGGATCAGAGTAAAGGAAGTGTCTCAGGCTAAAATGATAAAAGGACTTAAGGATTTGGAAGGACTTAGATGAGTTCAGGAGGGGACAATTTATAAAACTAAATCAATGAAACAACTTCATACACAAGAAACTAACAAAATATACGGACAAATGAACACATACATTAAAATATACAACATACGAAGACTCAGACTTTAAAATATATAATGTAAATGATGTGGTTGCAAATTTTTTCCTGTTATAAAATATTGTGAATATTACAATGAAGAGCAATTTAATGATATTAATAGGACAAATGGAGGTCTCTCTAAAAATTATTTGTGACCAGATTAGATCAATTTATTGCTAAACAAAATAATATAAGTAGCAGTCAGTATGGGTTTAAAGCAAAAAGCTCTACATTAATGGTTCTCATGGAATTGATAGAACAAATAACAACTGCTGTCGATCTAAAACAATATTGTGTTAGTTTTTTTTTTT